ACAGTGAGAGTTTTAAGAAAATTACTCTAGTCTGGATACAAAGCCCTAGCACGTTAACTCCAATCTAATGACATTCTAGAGAAAGAGGAAAAAAAAGGACCTTGACATAAGGCTGGCTTGCATCACCCTAAGCAGTTACAAAGCGCAAAAGTGAAACAGGCCTCACCTTAGTGAAAGTCCCAAGTAGTGGAGAGGGGGGTAAACAGTACCTCAAGTCCTCCGCTGCGCTAAATGAGACCGGTTTCCGCCCGCCACCCTATCTTATACCCTACCGCAGAACCTTCCAGAAAGGACCGCCCCTAACGGCTGTTCATCACGGTTACCTTCACCAATAGACATCTAGTCTCTGCTACTGGACCCAATGGCTGGCCGGCTCTGCCAGAAGACCGCGCCAGCTCCCGCCCCACCCGGTCCGCCTCCAGATGACGCATTCACCGCAGCGTTCTGGAACTTTCATTCTTGCCCCCGCTCTCGGAACGGCCCCGGGGAAAAGGAGGGTGGGGCCCAAGACTGCCCGCGCGCGGGAGTCCTAAGTCACCCCCGGCGGAAGCGGGGGGAGGGGACAGCCGCCAGCCTCGGCGCATGCGTCACCTCTCCGCGCGGGCGGGAGCGGGCGGGAGCGGGCGGAAGGAAGAGGGTGTAGAAGGGCGGGCGGACTTGGAGCCGACCAATGGCCCGATCCCTCGCGGCCGTCTGGGGCCGCGCAGAACCGGGGAAGTAGAACGCAGGGCCCGTAGTGTGTGAGGAGGGGGGGGGGTCCTGATGTTGCGAATCGGGGGAGAGAAGACGGAAATTGAGCGAGGACAAAATGGCCGCGAAGGTTGTTGCGCCCCTCCCCCACTCGAATTTTTATACACCTCCCCCCTCGATCCACTGAATTGCGGGTGACCTTCGGTCTTCTCCCAGGTTCCTTGTATCTGCATTTTATAGTTAGTGTAGTTTTGGACTCTGATTCGCTTGGGTGGCCGAGTTCTGGCCTGAGGGCGCTGCTGGGGGCATCCGTGCCTGAGGTTGGAAAGAGCTGCCAGCCTGCCGCGTGGTCCTATTGCCGCTTCTACATGTCTGGGACAGATGAACCCTGGAGGCGTCCCCCATCCCAAACCCACAACCACTGAGTCATTTGCAGCTCTTCGCGACTCTAGGATCGCTGCCTAATGGGTTTCTTTGTGGCTTCTGATCTTTTAAGGGAAGCTGACTCCCTCTTCCTTCCCCCCCCCCCCCCCCCGGAACAGCAGTCCATTGCTTCGATCCGTTTGCACCCAGGCTCCTTGGACAGGCCTGCAGGACTCAGACCCGGCGCGGAGGGTCCAGTCCCCGAGGTTCTCAGAAGCCCATCCCCAATTCTTTTCTGGACCCTGGTTATAAATAAATGGCCGAGGAGCTTCTTGGAGCCAGGCCGTCCTACCCTCGCCCCTAGAGCTGACTCTGCCCCGGGCCCAGCCGCTCCTCAGCTTGCCCAGTTCCGCGCTTGCCAGTTACTAGCGAGAAAGGGCGTGAGTCAGCGTTAGAAATTCTAGGTGCATCTTCTCAGCCGCGTTGTGCGCTTGCCTCGGCATTCCGGAGGCTTTCTTTTCAGAACCATTAAGCAGGCTCCTACAGCTTTCATCTTCTATCGAAAAATCAGAGGGTCGTAGGACAGTCAGTGCGTTGGTGCCCAAAACAATGGTAGCTTCAAGCATTGTGCACACATGGTGGCAGGCTGGCGGCCTCCTTCAGCGCCCCTTCCGCACGGTGAATGCTCTCCGTGTCAACCCGCAGGGGATTTTAAATACAGAAGTAGGCCTAGAGAGGGTGATGGAAAGGTTTGGGGGTTTTTTTTTGTTTGTTTTTTAACACTACCCTAACTGCTTTTAGTATCAGGGCTAGAATTGGAGGATTTCCAGACAATGCGAAAACGCAGCCCTAAGCGTGAGGACACATTGTCCTTGTAAAAGGAGTAAAGCCAGCAGAGGAACGTTTGACATTGTTTTTTTCCTGTTCCTTGCTCCCTCCCTCCGTCCCCCCTCCGCTTTTCTCCTGAGAGGAGAGGATCTATGTAGGTATATACTTGTCTCCAACATTTTGCAGTAAAACTGTGTATATTACTTTACAAAATACAAAGTGCTTTTTTAAAATCACATTTAATCATCCAGCAATTCAGAGGTTTAACTAATCCCTATTAAGAGAAAAATGACAGTGATGTTACACTCTTGTGATTTCCTATTGGTCTTTTTATTAACGCTAATGTAGAGCGTTCCCCCCACCCCCCAAACACATTTTAGCTGCGACTGTATAGAGAGGCAGGTAGGAGGCCCTTTAGACAAAGGTAATCAACCTTTCCGATTGAAGAGTCTAAAGTTTGTCAAATTGTGAAGTCCATACTTTCATTTACTCCTTATATCTTTCTGCTTTGTAAACTCTGAACTACATTTTGGTTGTTGAATCAATGAGGTAACAACTAGGCCCAAATCTTGAAGTATTGCTTTGTAGATAACCTGAGAGAACAGATGGCCTTCACTTAAGTCACTTGTGTTCCAGGAATTGGACTCTGTTCTTAGTAAATGGAATGATTCAGAGCTGATATACTTAAAGACCAGAATATAATGTATGTCTTGTCTCCACCCCTTTAAACACACAGTTTCTGAACACATTTTTTTTTTTAAATTTTTGTGTGCGTGTACCGTCAAATCAGATCTGACTGGTACAGGAGGAGATTGTCCCTCCTTCCCCGGCAGAACATCTGGTGGATTCAAACTCTGCCCCTCTGGGATTGTAGTTGCAGCTCCTTGCCACTAGGCTACCAGAGCTCCCCTGAACACATTTTTTTTAAGGATCTAAAAGTTTATGCGTGGGACTGAATTTGAAAGACTGGGACCTGGGGCTTCTGCCTGGGAAAAGGATAATAATTTTTTATAGTGTCTGTTATTGTTCATTGCCCTGATTCACAGCTGACCCTCTGGCAGGTTTTTCTTTTTTTTTTTTTTCTGGCAGGTTTTTCAGAGGCTGTAAATTGTACAAAAGGAATTTGCCCATCTTTCTCTCTCAGAACAGCTGGTGGATTTGAACCACCTGCCTTTGCGCAACTCCTTACGCAGTTGGTCACCAGAGCCTTATTTGTAGTGCCTAAAATGTTTGGATTGAAGCTCAGCATCAAGAAAACAAAGATTCTCAGTACCAAGCCAATTGGCAGCATCATGATAGATATTGAGATTGTTAATAGCTTCCAATTGCTTGACTCCACCATCTTGGTACCAGCAGCCAGGAAATAAAAATATGAATTGTACTGGGGAAATCTGTCCTCTTCAGGACTCTGGAATTAATAAATTTTAATAATATCTCAAGGTCCAATGTTTTTAATCAGGTTTTTTTTTTTTTCCAAAAGCATCCCAAACCCATAAAATACCAAGAACAACTATCTTATCTAAATGGCACAGATGACTTAAGTGCTGAGCTTCTGACAGAGCTTGAGGGTTCAGACCCACCCAGAGATAATCTCTGAAGGAATACTCACACGCACACCCCCTTCTGAAAAGCCATAGCCTTGAAAACCCTGCAGAGGGCTCTTCTACTCTGAAACACATGAGGGTCAGCAACAGCTGCTTTTTATTCGTTTGTTTTATCCTTTATCATTTGGATGGACCTCTGGTGTCATAGTCCACAGCCAAGCTTCCCTGGTGGTTCAAATCCACCAGCAGTTGTGCTTGGATAGAAGGGCAGTCTCCAGAACAATTTACACCCTGGGAAAAAGATGGTGGCTTGACCATGAGTCAGAACTAGCTAAAAACGGCAACGAGTTTTGAGTTTGTAACATTCAAAGTGAATCTGGAACAGAACATAAGGTGAGAAACAGGCTGCCATGCCGGAGTCATAGTAAGGGTGTGATTACACATAGGGTTTTGTTGTTTTCCTGAGAAACCAAGTCTGTCTGTTGGTAGTTACTTACTATGTAGAGCCATGAACATTTCCCAAAGATCGAGAAGATAAAGGAGGTCCTAACAAGATCATGCCAGAATAAACTAAGATTTTAATCCCAGAGGCGCACGGTTCGAATCCACCAGATGCTCTGCCAGGGAAGGAGGGACAATCTCCTCCTGTACCAGTCAGATCTGATTTGATGGTACACTCACACAAAAATAATTAAAAAAAATATTTTCTAGATTGATTTGCTGCATTCATTTGTTCTGTCATTAATTGGTAATGAATGATTTTGAAACGAGTACTAGGGTACTGTTAATTCAAGAAACTTCTCAATAGAGTTACCATCATTTCTTGGGCCATATTAAAAAAAATGTCAGATTCATCAGTCAGGGGTACAGAGCCATTTGACATACCCTCTTTCCAAAAACTTTATCATTTAATTGTATAATCTGAATTAGAATTATGTGTGGAGAATTAGGCTTTTTGAAAAAAAACTAAAATTTAGTCCTTATCAAAGTA